TGAATAAATGGTTTAAATTTCTTTTAAGGATAGACTGCTTTCATTCCCAAAATGCATGCTAATCCATATCAGCATGGATTTCGAGCTCAATTTGAAGTCTTGGTTTTGTTGAGAACTTCAGAAGGGGAATCTTTAGTAAAGTCTATGGATCTTGTTAATGCAAATGGCAAGTGAAGAACTCTTCTAAATCACACAGATAATTAAGATTTGGTTCAGTTACATTTCACTGATTTTGCCAAAAGGACCTGCAACATACTTCAAATATTTCTGTTAGTAAACCACAAATAATTTAAAACACATGAGGTCACTGAATTAGAAAACACAAGGATATTTGACAGCAAAAGATAATGAATGCTAAGTGTGGTGGCAAACACTACGTCTAAAATGCAAAGTTTTCAGAGTATAAGGAGTTATCTCTGATTCCCATTTGGTGTAACACAACTGCAATGAATATTTATTACCAACTTATTTAGCAGCATGAACAAAAGGAACTGTTACAAATAAGCAACACTATGGCAGTTTCACTGCTGTTAGCTTGATGTTCTTGTCTGAAGTCAATCAAAATGAAAGACAAAGCAATCAGGGAAAAGACTAAGTCAAACATCCAAATCACACAGTTTCTATTTTTGTGTTAACTACCACCATCACTGATTTGTCCAAGACTTATTAGTGTGAGGAAGCTGTTGGTGAAATTTGACAGGTGTCAACATGGCATTTGCATGCTTCAATTGGAATGCAGGCTTTAAATGTAAATTTACATGACTTGTTTTAATGTTTCCTTAGCATATCAGTAAAACTTTGAAGTGATCTGAAGGGGGATAAAATTTACAAAGCAGAGCAATATACATTTAGGATACAATTAAATAGTCAATAATGAGGGGGTGGGAGGGTGGAACAGAGAGGCAAGCTCTGTCTTTATATCTTCTTGCAATGTCCTCCTGGCTGCTTTTGCTGCAGTATCTCACTTCTACCTTTTGACGTGCAAACGAAACCACCTCTCCAGTGCAGTTGTGCTGATAATAGCAGGTGACTCACTTTCAACTTATTTGTCCTCAGACCTAGTTTGACAGCCACTTTAGTCTTCAGAGAGAGCAAAGCAAAACTTTAAGTGTGTCACTAACTCACACAAAAACCTCCAGTGCATATTTAGTAAACCATCTGCTCTGCAAATATAAACTCAGGTCAGAGATGTACTGAACCCTTTGATTCAATACAATAAATATATACGTTTGCAAAGTATTTGCAAGATCAGTAGATGAATACAAGACAGGATGTACATTGCCTAGGTAAGCTCAGAGGCTTGTTGCCCCCAGCTTCCCACAGCTGGCATGTCACAGGGCAGTGCATGCTCTTAGTGCATGTGCATATGCTTCTCCATCTCTCTCGTTCACTTAGATCAGGGCTGCATCCTCCCCCAAGGAATGCACCGGGGAAGACTGGAGGAGATACGTCCACAGGAGTTTTTCTTCAGCTTCTCTACTGTCATCTTCTGAAATGTGATGTCTGTAACAGACTATTTAATACAGGTTGTGCTCGTAAGGAAGGGGATATGTAACTGGAAAACTATATTGTATCAGCAGGTTGGCCTGCTTAATTCTGTTTGTATAGTACATAGTAGAGCTTGAGAGGAACCTTCTTCACCAGAAGTTACCTAATGAATGGAAGAGACAAACCTTTCACACTGACTCTGTGCAAATGCTTCCCCATGTAATTTCAGCTGAGTTTTCAGATGCCTAGGCACACATCACATCTGTTCATGTAACGCTAAAAAGTAAATCCTCAGTACATCAACCAAGCTCCACACCCAAGCATTCAGCTGGAAGATGGTTATTCTCTAAAAACTTAATGAACAAGAAGCGCGTTCATAATTGATGACCTCATTGGAGTAATGTAAATAACCACACTGGCTGTAATGCTAGTGTAAAACAAAGACACTATGGCTCTATGTCTGTGCCTGAAATTCTTGAGAAAATAAAAGTAAAATGTGGTGAAGAAAACCTTTAGATACAAATCCCAATTCCAGTTAGTTCTACAGTATTTTCTCTGTCCAGTCACCCTATCAAGAAAATATTTCTCTCTTTTGCAAGTCCCTGTGGAATGGAAAGTACACACACATCAGCACACTGGCCATCATAGCAATCACTGCTTGGCAGCTGTGACTCTGAATGTCTTGCTAAATGAGTTTTCTAAAAGTATATATATTACACAGTGATACCACATGTATTTATTATACTAGTAAGGCTTTGTCCCAACCCTGCTATTTATGCAAGAAGCTCCATTTTAGGATCTTATGTACAGCTTTGGACAAGGAAAATGAAGTGAGGTTTTTTTACATAATACAGTGTCATAGCACCAAATAAATAGACCATACCTATTATCTTTTTTTGGACTGGGGACTGAAGTTTAGGCTGGAATGAAGGAAGCACACTGCCTTTGGGAGAGAAAACAAGGCAAGTTCAAGAAGTCTTTAACTGCTGAGTTTTTGGTTGTTGAACTTTCAGGAACAATTTCTAAGGACACAGAAGTCCATTCCGATATAAATCATCATCTCTGTTCTTTGTGGAAATCTTTCAGTGTTTAGGTATCGAGACAGCTTTCTTCATTTAGCAAAAGCTTTCTTCATTCAACATCTGTATTCAGTCAAGTAGCTTTTTCAGATTCAAAGGAGGTCCTCCAAAAGGACATATTCTGAAAAAGACAGGGAGAAACTTCCTATATACACACCTCCCCAGATGCTAGTTTCAAATTAATCATCAGATCTGGGGCAGCAGATGGAAAATAATATTCCTGATAAAATGGGTCTAATGAGAGCTGGAGGACCTGTGCTCACTGCTAATTTTACACAAAGTCCTAATGCAATTTTTGATTGGATAAAGGTGGAATATGGATGTCTACTGTCTGCAGAAAAAATCCTCCCACTTCTTTGATATTGAGGAACTTTGACGAAGCAGATGACTGGCTGATCTATTTTGATTTTGGCCTCCTTGAGTTTAGGATCTGGGAATGACACTTGGTTTTATTTCCCAGTCACAGAAGTGAGGAGACGGCCTGATTTGAGTTCCACATCACAGCTCCAAAACTTAACATCTTTCTCAGCTGCCAGGAGTTCAGAACAAGGAGGAAGCACATATCACTTTCTAGGATACAAACACAAAAGACATTATAGGATCTTTTTCACTGAAGCTCCCTTAACAGAAAGGCATTTGGAGCAGCTCTGTAATCAATTCCGGCAGTAGGTCCTATCTGCTGTCCTTCAGCCCTCCTTGTTGCTTTTTCTGGTACTGCGTTGTTCTCCTTTGATCCCTCATTTTATACCTTTTCCTAATCAAGCCTTTTTTATCCTGTGTTTTAGCTGCCCAGTTATGTCCTCCCCAACCCATGCTTCTCTGTCTCTCAGGTTTTGCTCTCTTCCTTCCTCTCACACAACTTTCCCAGTTTTCTCATGAACTTTTTTAGGCTTGTCTGTTGCAGAGAATGTAGAACATGTCTAGCATATAGCTAAACAAAACCCATGAACTAATTTTCCCTAAAATAGATCAACCCTCTCTCTAAATCTCTTATTTAACAATGTTCCTAGCCATCTCCCTTCCGCCATGGTCAGAAGCATAATGATTCTGTGCTCCCTGCTGTCCCCTTTTTCCTGCATCTCCCCCAGCACAGGTTGCTCCTGCTATAAGCCGTCGTCTCTTCAATAGGAGCAGTCTTATTTTTGGTGCAGCAGGAACTTCATCCTGCCCTAGTTCACACAGTGTACTTTCCCTCTTTCTTCCTTGCACGATTTGTTGCTGCAGCTTATCACAAATGCTCTGCTCCCCTTCTGACAGCTTCAAAGCACTCCAGATTTTTTGATTTGCCTCTCCTACTTCTCTAAGACTCTGAGTGATACGGAGAACCTCCTAGAGCCAGAAAGCAACTGTGATTTTTAGCGACGATATTTGCTATAACTATTTAAAGCACACTTAAGAAGATACAGAATAAGTAGGTTTGAGGGAAGTGGTAGCAATCCACCCACTACGTGCCTTTTAGCTATCCCTTTTAATTAAATATTAAAGATTATGGTTCTAAGGAAGTTTTAAAATAACCCACTGACAGAAAAAAGAGGCAGGTTAAAAAACAGCAGAGGAAGAAATAATGCCCCCCAAAGAGTTACCATTCCTTCACACTGCTTTTAATATAATTTTACTGTGCTGATGAGGGAAAAGCTTTTCCAAAGGGAAATAATAAACCTTATGCTTTCTGGTGCTAGATCCCTCTCTATGTTCTCAGGGAGTCCCACTAGGGATTGCAAATTATTTGAAGTCTAACTAATCGTACTAGTTTCCTCTTTCACAACTGATAGCAAGAAAATGTTTATAAAACTGAGTAAATAAATTATTTGAAGTGTTATTCCTCACTCAAAAGACACATTCTGATGCTGGATGCACAGAACTGATACACAGTTTGAGCGAAAAAGTATATATACTGGTAGAGATGAGAAGTGTTAAGAAACCAGCCATGTCCACAAAACTGAGTGGCTCTGACCTGCACAACCATTTTGGTGAAAGCTTTGATTATTTTTCTCCCTAGCTAGCTGACAAACAGCTACACTGGCAAAGCATCTACAGGTAAACTGAGCAGTGTTTTTGCACAAATATCTGCTGTGCTGCTTCTTTACTTGCATTTGAACTCCTCTGTCCTTCATTACTCTTTTGCTCTTCTCCACTGTGTGTAGTTTTAAATCAAACTCCAAATCCCAAAACTCTCTGTAAGGTGTCCATTGTTACTGTTAATACAGAAACTACTTAACCATTTTGATTTGGTCTTGTGTTAGCCATAGAATGGAAAGCATTTTCAAACACATACCTTTTCCCCCCCTCCAAATTAGTCTCATAATCCATGTCCTGCTTTCAATTAAAGTATCTCCACAACAGATGTATCTATAAGGTGCCTAGAATTTCACAGTAGAAAAGTCATTTGAATACAGAAGTTGGCCAAAAAGATTGAATTCCCAAGGCAACAGAAACGATACTGGTGATTTTATTCAGCATGTGTCCCATACGATTTTCCATTCAGAATCCGCGTTTTTTTTAATATTTTTCTTATACCATTCTAAACATTACCTTCAGCTTTTATGGAGTCCCTTGGAAAGTTTTTTTCAATTTGTTTACCAGAAAACTTAAATCTTAATGATTAAATAATAGGACATTTATATACATCAGTGGGTTTTCTCCAATATTGGGCTCTAAGTACATACAATGTCTATTGAGTGAGAAGAAAAAAGAAAACTCCAGTCATGCAAATCATCTTATAAACCATGTTCCATTTGCCTTGAAAACTTTTACTCTGTTACTGGCATATCATTTAAAAATTAAGCAGATAATTTTTTAAGGTTGCTTTGTCCATTTCCATTCATTTGTTTTGCCATTTTGAAGAATTGACAGGCCACATGCTACTGCAGAAGGTACCAGCAGGGTAATAATGGTTCTGCTACCACCAACCAACCACTCTAAGCCCTGGTGTGGATGAGTTTAAAAAAACCACCTAACCTTCAGCTAACTGTACTGGGTTTATTTCCAAATAGCACATCACAATATCAGCATAGATAGCACATTGTAACCATTTGGGTGATTCCACTTAATTTTTCAACACTAGGACCTTTCAGCATTTTAATTCTGGTTTCATTTATGAATTAAAGGTCATATATAGAGCACAAATGAGGTCTAAATTTAGTCACAGCAGACCACAGTTCCACATAAAGACAAATCTTCAAGTTATGTTGACCTGCTAGGAGACAAAGATAAACAGCACAGCAAACATGTACCTGCAATGCACTGCTTCCCTATTAAATATTAACTGTTTCATTTACATTTAAATGAACTGAGCAGTAATGGATAAACTTTCCAGTACTGCTGTTTGGTGCTGCTGTCATGGAAAGAAGCTGAAGACAATGTGGGCTGTATGGGGGCAAATGACGCAATCTCAGCATCCGTTCAAGTGACTTCAATGATGACCATTCTCCAGTCTTGAAATGTAATCCTACACAGCATTTTTTTTTCTCTCCCTCTGTAAACACATCTGTTCATAAATAACTTAGATGTCTCCTTGACATTCATGGTATGTAATTGAAGCTGAAGTAGAAAAGGATGGATGGCGTACAGCACTGAGGAGACGTCACAGTACTTTTGTTCAGCATTTTTGTCAAGTGCAGGTTGCTAACATCAGCCATCAGAGACGGGTGGGGTGACCCACCCATATTTTTCATGGGTCTTCACCAAACTCTTAAATGTTGCTTCAGCTTCCTTTCGACTGAATGACTTTTTTGATTTGCCAGCTTTTCTGCAGATACGGCCCTGCACCAAACAAAAAAGAAAACTGTCATTAAACATGTGAACGCGCAGCTGGAAACCACAGCTCAACTTTTCAATGCATCAGGCCAAGTGGCATTCACTTACGGGTACCAGAAAGCAGGGTTTCCAAACTGGGGCAGACAAATGCAGTATTAGAGATGACTAAAATTATATGTAGTAAAGCAAAAAAAAAAAAAAAAAAAAAAAAGACATCTGCCTGGCTATTTCTTCCCAGCAACCAGTGGCTGCTGCTGTAGCCACAACACACAGCTCGCCTCCCTCTCTGCTGTGCAGGGAGCTCTGCAAACCAACGAAGGGACCTCCACCATGAAGCATGTGGTGTGCAGACCCTCATGTCCCCCCCTTATGGTCAGGGGTGCAGCCCCCAAGCAGACACAGACTGCAAGGAGCACACCAACATGCCACAGACACGGCGCCTCAGCACAGCTCTTCCCACCGGCTCCTGGGGACAGGTGGGTTTTGTGAGCACCCCTCGCAGCCCTTTTCAGCTGCAGGAGAGGAGAGGGTCCCCAGCAACCCCCTTCAACCCCAGTGTCCCCCCCTCAACACTCTCTGGTCCCCCAGGGCCAGTGGCTGTGGGTGGAGAAGGAGACAGGCTGCTGCAAGTGGTGCCAAGGTAGCAGCTTGGGGCTGAGGAGATGGAAAGAGGTTTCAAACCAGTTTTGATGCCACGGTCCTAATATAGTCCAAGGTATGAGTATCACGGAGTCAACAACCCTGGAGAACCATCATAAAAGCGGAGTGTTTCTGTGTGCTACGTCCCAGGGCTACCCGTATCTCACCCCCCACAGCCCATTGCCAATGCAAAGCGTCACTAAAAATTACATCCATCCCACAAAACACACTCCACTCTTTTTATAATCTGACCCATGAAAAATTAATAGCTATGGCATTTCCTGAAGGCAGAAGGCACCTTAAAACCAACTTGCTTCCAACCTACATAAAAAATTCTGCTTTGTTTATTACCCTTTCATGACAAGTTTGATAATAAATTAAATTATACACATTCAACATATTGCATCTTTGTTACTTTGCCATTAAATATTACCTCTAAATGCATGGCAGTATAAAATTTCAAATCCTTGTTTGGCAACAGAGACATTTACTGAGATATTAATAGCTTACCTTATTTTTCACATTGATCCATGTCAATTATCTACTAAGAGACACAAGAAAGAAATATAGCTGCAGATTCATCCCATTTTACAGCAATAATACCCTTTAAAGTTTTTACGCCTATTGGATTTGTCACAAAATAGAAGTTTACTAAAGTCACAAGTCTAATAATTTTAGTAACTGCTTGGTAGACTGCATTGAAAACCTTTTTTGGAATAAATGGTATTTGATAAGCAGATACCATATTACAGTGTCACAATTACTAAGAATCAAATTAGTACATTCTCATTTCTTCAATTTTTTTTCTCAAAATGATGCACCTGGCTGAATCTTTTACTGTCAATTTGTAATTTAAAAAAAAATTGTCATTTGTAATCACATGCAACAAATAATACTGAGAAAATAAATCAGGTATATGGAGGGAAAAAAAGGAAAAAAGAAAACAAACTCTGTCCTCAGAGTATCAAAATTATTTTTACAGGCTAAAATGAGTAAAATTAAATCTGCAGTGTGGACAAATCGTTTTGTTCTAGAAAGCTGTCACAATTTTGCACAGATACGCTCAGCGCCACTGCTATTATAACAAAACTACAGACACATGAGATAAAAAAGCTGTTTCCTACTCTTTTTTTAATAAGTCATTGTTTTTGTGTGGTTTGATTTCTTCAGAGCCTATCATAACTAAAGATTAGGAACAGCTTCTAATTCCCACCTCAATTTATTCACAGCCAATTTATACCCATTTGATTTGCACAAAAAGTAGCTATTTTACCTTTCAGTGCTTTTCCTCACCTCTCTCCCTAGTTACCATTTACAGACTAGCAATGTATTTTCTCTTTAAATACCCCTTGACTGAGAGTCTAACCAGCGAGACACCTTCCCCATCCCCATACTAATTGGGTAATTAATATTTCCCAAATAGGAATGATCTGAATGATACTCAATTTAACCCTGCTAATAAATTTTCTTAGAAAATGTTCCTTTTTAGTTGTGACAAAAGGAATCATTAAATAAAACTGGATAACACATGTTTAAAATCTCATTGATGCATTATCTTACATATCCTGCAGAAGTATGTTTGCTGTTACAAAACATGTTTTGTATTTTCTTCCTAATCTGAGCTTTTGTTGGAAACATACTTAGAGAAACACAGGAAAGGATAAAGCAAAGTGCAACAGAAGATGCAATCAGCACAGGAAATGCTATCCTCAACATCTCACCATCAAATACTTTTTAAAGTAAATATAAACTTACTCTACTACTTTATTTCTGGTTTAGGTCCATTTGCCATCTATTGTCTTATAGATACTATTTTTCACCATTTAAGGCTTTGATACCTTTCTGAATTGTGTGCATAGCACGTAGCACAGTATGATCCATGTCTTCCCAAGCTTTATTAAAGTATTAATACTAATCTGTACTTAGAAATAGGATCTTTGCATTGAGACCAGCTATTGCTCAAGTTCAGTCAGCTATGTTCTGCTTTTAAACAAGGAAAGTAAGAATTCTTTGGTGTTGCAGTAACACAGTGAATAACACCACATCATCTAAAATGGTACTGGAGCCACAGCAGATGAAATGAGAACTGTTCCATGAGTTTATTCTCGCATTTCTTTGCTATTAATGTAATGGATCATTAAATCCACTTCTAAAACGCATTCTGGTACCATATGCAGGTTGTATGCAAACTGCATCATCAAAGACCAGCTAATTCTACCCCATTGTATTCAATGTATTTCTATGTTTATACAGAAACTATGGGTGGCATGGTTAGCACTGTCTCTTATTAACCAATATCCCGCCAGCTGTTTATAATTTGGATAAAATTTAACCTCATGAACTGAAAGTTTCCCTTTTTGGTGCCTCATGTAAACCTGAGGTAAAAAGAAAAAAGGGTGGAATTTCAGTCAACTCAGTTCAGATGCTTTTGAGTCTATACTCAAGTGGTATCTACTGTCTTAATGATTTTTAGCTTTTTGCCATTCACACGAAACTCTTCCCAGCTTTAACAAAAAAATGGCATTTTGGACACAATTACAAAAGAAAGTATCAAACGTTTTAACAGGCACAATTACCAGCTGTGATTACAGTTTATTTTCAGACTGCTACTTAAACATGCAGTCATTTTAACTGTGGTCAGGAGACTATGAGCTGCTGCATTCTGTAAATATGGTAAATACAGTATGTAAACACAGTGCTGGCCACAGCTCAATTGCACACGACTGCATTTTGACCAGCCTCTAAACCACACTTGTCACTACCGCCATGGTAAGGAATATAGTCATTTGCACGGCCAGTGTTTTGATGTATCCAGCACCAAATCAAGAAAAGATATCAAGCCTATATTGAACAAGATCAAAACATTCCACAAAAGATTAAACACAACATAGAAAACCCAAGAGAGCCTTCCATAAAGATATTAATGTCGACTCTAGCTCTGAGAAGTCGCACCAGGAGCTTATTTAAATACTTGCAATACTTTCAGACACTCACAGAGTGCTTTTCATAAAGGGATAACTGCAAACCTAATTAAAATAAAGAGTTGGAGAGAACATTTCAGAATTTTCCATCTGCTGTGACTTCAATCCTTATCCAGATATAATTTTAACAAGCTAGAAATATATGAAAGGTGAAAGTAATGCCACAGTACTCAGCTGGTTTACCGAGCCATGCTGAAATGCAAGGGGACACAAGCTGCACTTGGCCTCCTCGCTCACTCGCATTCCTGCTGCGCCCAGTTTGTGCGGCATGGTGAGCAGTTGCATGCCACACATCTACTCTTTGCCCAGACTAATGAGTCTGAACAAACAGCTGATAAAGATCCAGTCTATAACTCTGAGAACTGCTAGGAGAAAGACCGCCTGGAGCACGCTCTGCTGTGGGTAGCCTTCTCAGGACCCTGGCCATACCTAGGGACCGCTCTCTCCCGCCACATTCACCAAAAGACCTGAGGTAAATCTCACACATGATTTGGCAAAGCTGGGTGCTTTTCTACTTCCCAGTGATGATGCAGTAGTCTCCACGTTCTTCCACAATCATGAACACACCAGCATATCCTCCCATTGAGAACACTATGTGACAGTGAAGAGCAGCCTCAAAAATACTCAGCATCTAGTAGCTCCTTAAAGTCCTTCAGTATCATTACCAGCAGTGTGCCATATCTCTTCTTCCTCAACAACAACATATCATGAAGTGGTCCAAAGACAGATTTAAGTCCTGTAGAGAGACCAAATATGAAACCTGAAGCTCTATATCCCTGTAATCCCACCACAGTCATGTATCTGCCCATGTCTGGCCTGTGTGTCATGAAAAACAGTCCTGACATTTTTTCTGGCATTTCCAGAATCAGGATGGCCACTAGGGGATTTCTTCAGCAGCAATGAAGGGATTTATCTCTCCTCAAACCAACTATAGTAGCTCCCAGACCAAAATCCAACAGTTTGGACATAGCACAAAGCATCAGGTGTGCTTCCATGCTGTATCACTTTTGGCACTACTTGGAAGGACAGGACTACATAATGGTGGAGGGTCTTTCACAGGATCACCAAAGTGCTGGCTGGAAAGGACCTATGGAGGTCTCTAAGTCCAACTTAGATACTTGGAGCTGAACTGTCAACACAGGTCAGCTGTGGCACTGCTTAGCCAGGTTGCAAATCCTTCAAGGTTGTTCTCAGTCTTCTCCTGATGCAAGTCCCTGGGTTACAAGGTCTCAAATTTTCAGAGATTTATTGCACACAGTCATCAGCCCTTACAGGACTGAGGTTACCCTGGACAGAGTGTAAGCCCCTGTGCTACACAACTCTGAGATGCCATAGCAAACCCTTCAGGCACATCCTGATTTTTATTTTTTCCTGGACTGGTTAACA